GCTTTCCCCAAACTCATTGTGCCTTTTTCCAACTCCATGACTTCACACAAACCAGTCTTCATGCCTAGAATTGGCTCTCTCCCCACCCACGTCTCCACCTGTTGAAATCTTTCCCTTCCCTTAAGGCCCAGAATTCCCTGTGGCACCTTCTCCATAAAACTTCCCCTAATATTCTAAGTGATCTGTGTCCCTTCTCATATATCCCAACACTCATTTTGACCTCTCCTACTTGGTGATCACATTCCCACTTCTATTATAGTTACACACACACATAGGATTGGAAGGCAGTGACTGTTCCTCACCTTTATATTCTCCAACAAACAGCACATAATAAATGGTGTTTGGATTTACCAAATAAGGTCAGAGAAAGTGTGGTACTAGTAGCCAATTCCCCCATTGTAGTTGATGATTCAGAGAGCCCCCAAATTCATATTTTAAAATGTCCCAAAGGTAGTGAGTGTTTCCAGTCATGAGCATATTCACCACACACACAGACATTCTGAGCAGTTGCAGAAAAGTAGTAGCAAGCACTTCGGAGAAACTACCCCCTATGTACTGTGGTGTAATAATAGTAACTGACATTTAAGATGCAATTTAAAGTTTCCAAAGCTTCACATAATGTTTCTGTCAAAACCTGTGATTTCACTGGTATCAGGAAGTGTGGAAACTCCTTTCACCAATGCAGAACAGAAAGTCATCTATAACCTGTGATCTTAACAAGTAGCTTGGAGCTCTGAGGGGTTATGGTTAAGTTGAAAAAACTTAAAGGTTTAACAAAGAGCTTTCCATACTGCTACCTCATTTGAGCTTGACGACAAACCTGTGAGGAGAATATTATAGGTAGTATTATACTAGATAAAAAAAACTGGAGCTCAGGGAAGTTAAGTAATTTGTCAATGCTAACAAAATGTCAGAGGTAGTTAGTCAATGAACATTTATTAGGCACCTACTGTGTGCAAGGCACTGTTCTAAGCACTGATAATACAAAGATAGGCAAAAGATTATCCTTGCTCTCAAGGAGTCTAATAGGGGTGACAACATGCAAATACCTATTTGCAAACTAGATATAAACAGGTAAATTGGAGATAATCAGCAGAGGGAAGGCACTCGAATGAAGAAAGACTAGGAAAGGCTTCTTCTAGAAGACAAAATTTTGGCTGTGATTTGAAGGAACTCAGGAAGTACAGATGAAGAGGCAGAACATTCCAGATATGGGGGACAGTGAGTGAAAATGCCTGGAGTGGGGAGATGGAGCATCTTGTTTAAGGAACAGCAAGGAGGCCAGTGTCATTGGATTGAAGAGTTCATGGAGAGGGTATAAGTTGTAGGAAGACCAGAAAGGTAGGATTTGAGCATAGAACATCCTGATTCCAAGTCGAGCACTTTATTCACCTTTTTTGAAGGCAATTGGACTTAAGTGACTTGCCCAGGATCACATAGCCAGTGAGTGTCTGAGGGCAGATATGAACTCAGGTCCTCTTGACTCCAGGGCTGGTGCTCTATCCATTGCACCACCTAGCTGCATCCAGATTACTTCTCTAATGGAAACAGGAAGTCGAATGGAAAGAAAAATAGAGTGAAAATCCAGAGAGCTGCATCCTGATTGTCTCAACTATTCATCAGCTATGGGAGCTTGGGGCAGATCACTAAATCTTTCAGGGCTTCAGTTTCCTCAGATGTAAAATAAAAGAGACCACAGATTTAGAGCCAGAAGGGACCTTTGAGGTCAATGAGTCCAACCCCCTCATTTTACAAATGAGGAAACTGAAGCCCAGAGAGGAAAAGGGATCTGCCTAGAGTCACACTGCTGTATTAAGTGTCTGAGGTGAGACTTGAATCCAGGTCGTCCTGCCACTAAATCCACAACGTTATCACATTCAGCACTACACTGTTTACAATTAGATTGGATGATTTCTAAAATCCCTTCCAACTCCAAAAATAAAATCAATCATTCTTGACTCTTTACTCTCCCTTACTGAATATATCTATTCATTGCCACATCTACCTCCACAACCCCACTCATCTCTACCCCTTTTTCTCCATTCACGCAGCCAATACCCTACTGTGGGTCCTCATCACTTCTCACCAGGACTCCTACAACAACCTAATTGAGTTCTCTTCCTCAAGTCACTCTCCTCTCCAATCTATCAGCTACATAGCTACTGAAGGGATTTCGTTAAACACAAGCCTGATCCCATGACTCCCCTGCTCAATAAACCTCAGCTGCTCCCCATTACCTCTAGTATTCAATAGGTACCAATTCCCCTGTTCAGCATTGAAAGCCCTTTACCACCTGCCTCCAACCTAACTTTCCTGCCTTATTCTTTACTCCCTTTCACGCCCTATAAGGTCCAGCAAAATTGGCCTTCTCATTATTCCTCCAACATGGCACTCCATCTCCTGACCCTGCTGGTCTTTTGTACTGGCTATCCCCCTTGTGGCAGCAATGCCCTCCTCATTTCCACTTCTCCAAACCCCTAGTTCTCTTCAAAGTTCAAGCCTTTCCAGATCCCTCACTAGTTGTCAGTGCCTTTCCCCCATCACGCATTTATTTTATATCTACATATGTGTGTATACATGTGTGCATATATTTAAATATTAACATATTAAATAAGGGTTTTTTCCATTTTTGCATTCCTGGCTAATATCACAGTGCCTGGTACATACTAGTTGCTTAATAAATATTTGTTGAGGGGGAGAGAAAAGGGGGGAAAAGAACAAAGTAAAAAGTACATAACAGAGAACAAAAGAAAACTTACAAGGAAGCAAAGTAAAGATGGACAGCTTTCAACACGTGTAGTATTTATTATACAGGCTTTCTTGAAATGGATATTTGTTGCTCTAGATTTTGAATCCTCATGTTCTGCTCTGCACATGACATGCTTTTCTTTTCTTACTTTGTATTTAAGTTTCAATATTTACCTTTATGATGTTTCTTATTCTTTTCTCTATTGTAAATTGAGTCTAAAATAAAATAAATAAATAATATTTGTTGACTAAAGTCTGATTTCTCCTACCACTGGAAAACTGTTTTGAAAAGAATCTCAATATGCTTCCAATTACAATGAAGCCCCCCACACACACACAAAATCAACTGTCAGATAATTTTCAAGTTTTGTTTTTGTTCTGACCTGAGGTTTCATCTGTTTTGGAACTCCCAGGGTGGAAATTCTCTCCATTTATGCAGATCAGCACATAACTACATAACCATAACTCTTCTATAATTTAAGTGACTTGCCAAAAGTCACACCAGTCATGAGGATCAGAAGCAGGAATGACATTTGGTTTCCTTACTCCAAGACCATCTCTCTAACCATTATGGCATTGCTGCATGTTTTATTTTGGTTTTTTTTTTAATAAGTATTGTTTGAATACAAATTTTAAAATGTCTAAAACGTTATTTTTTTTTACTTTTTTTTTTTTTAGGCAATTGGGGTTAAGTGACTTGCCCAGGGTCACACAGCTAGTGTCAAGTGTTTGGTCTGAGGATGAATTTGAACTCAGGTCCTCCTGACTTCAGGGCTGGTGATCTATCCACTGCACCACCTAGCTGCCCCAAAAATGTTATTCTTAATAAAGATGTTTGCTATATGTCATCAGAAGATAACTACTATGGGAAGTGTGGTACAGTGGAAGAAAGTTTTGATTTGGAGTCTGAGGATCTGAGTTTGAATTCTGACTTTTCCATTTAACCCTTGGGTGACCTTGGGAAATTGAAATTCACTTCCCTTTTCTGGCCCTCAGTTTCCTCCTCCATAAAACCAGGGATCTGGAACCAGATGACCTGTAATATCCACTTCCACTTCTAAATTTATGAGCCAATTAGGAGTCTAGGCTAGAGTTTGGAAATGTCTTTATCCACTATTTCTTGTTAACAGTATTTTTGAGTTATTGGGGGGGGGTTTGTTTTTTCATTCCTTTGGTATATTCATGCCATTTATATTGACATGTCAATAAGGATAAATAGTGTACATTTAGGGTCTAAGCAATGGAAACAAAGTTTTCAATCCAGTTGTTAAGACCTTAAATAAAAGGCTATAAAGATAAAATATGAACATGTAGGTAAATAAAAATATAAAATATAGGATTAAAATAAAATGAGACACCAAGTCAAAAATGCAAGGCACCTGACCCCCTTACTCATCAATATTAAAACTTTTCCTCTGAGTAACTATATAGAAAACAAGCCTAGTATAGAGTTTAGAGTGTATTAAGGGTGGTGAGTTTCAAATTACCTTTCTAAGCTAAAAGGGAGCTGAACTTCTGGACGTAGTTAATATGACTCAGAGAGTACACATTCAGAAATAATGTCCCAGAGAGGGCCAAGCCCCCATACACAGTGTATGTACTAAAGATACTAACTTCCAACATTTGAGGCAATGGAATTCATTGTGTGTTAAGCAACAGGAAGTAGAGAGAAGGGTAGGATTGCTTTGTAAGAAAACTCCGCCTCTTAAGAGCAGCTACAGCTAACTACAATTAGCTAACTAGGAATTCATTTCTACTCTTGACAATGCAGCACACTGTAAAATGTATCCAAATATAACCAACTGGTCTTGGAAGGATACTGTTTCATAGAAGTTGGAAAGGGCTGCTTTACCAATCTATAACTCAGTGTCTACAGAGAAACAAAGGAAATGGACTGGGGGAGAAGAGCAACTCAGGCATTTTCAGAATGTTCTTGTGAAGTTCCAGGTCTCTCAGCTCCACTAGTAAAGCATCTCAAACTAGTCAAGTTTCGCCAGAACGCTAACCTTTGTTTGGAAGCCACAAGTTTCCTTTCGCTGCGTGGTCATTTATCGGTGCCACACACTCTATTACCAGTTAATAAACGCGCTTCCCTTTCCCACTACAAAGTCTAGGACAGTCCCAGCTTTTGCATCGAGTCCACTCCTCCCTCTTCCTCTAAACTACCCCCCTGCCCAGTCCTAGGCCAGTTAGGACCAGGCTCCACTCTCTCCAGCATCGCCACTCTCGGGACCCAAGGCCCGGCAACTCACCTTTTCCGCGTCTTGGCCTAGAGGAATGCCCAGGTTTTTCAGGCCCTCCTGCAGCTCGATGATGTCCACCTTTCCATCCCCGTTGCGGTCCAACTTCTGGAAAAGGTTTTCAAAGCGCTTGTGGGAATCGGTTTCCTGGCAGGCCGCCACGGGCAGCACGAAGCCCCGCACCCAGCGAAGCATGGCACTCCAAGAACAGGGACAGACCTGGGCAATGGAAAAAACCTCGAATGCCACCACCCCTCCCTCTCCCCGTAGCAATCAGTGCCTCCCTTCTCCTCCCGGCTGGGCCTCGGACAGAGACGGCGACAGCAGCTCGGTCTGAGGACGAAGGAGGGATCGGTGGCAGGGCTTTGCTGCTGCTGAGCCGGAGTCCAGGAAGGCGCCGAGAAGTCAGCTCCAAGGCATGAGAGCCGTGAGAGACGACAACCGAGTGAGCTGCCTGCCAAGGAATCCCCGCCCATCAAGTTCCTGCTCACGGGCTGGGAGGGGCCCCACCGCGACCACGAGCCTTTTGGGTGCCCCTAGGAGGAAAACTCTGAGACGGAGAGAGCCCGTGGCTGGCATGGATATTTCCTGCAGCTGCACTGGGCGGGGCAGGTCGGAGGGTGCGGCCCACGGGGAGCCGAGGAGCCTAACGGCCGGAGGAGCACAGCGCTCCCCGAACCCCGAGTAGGAGCGAGCCTGAGGCTGGCCCATTTAAAATGGTAAGGGAGGCTTGGGCGGCTGGAAAGTGAAAGAAATCATCGAGTTCTCTTGATCTGCCTGAGTTAAGGTCCCTATGGAGAAGGGATGACAACTTACTCACAGCTTACCATCTCATCTCCTCGCGATCCAATTTGACAAGCATTTTATGGACTAACTCTGTACAAGTAGGCAGTGGGTTACGGAGAAGAATTAAAAGTTCATATGATCATAGAATTAGATCTGGAAGTGACCTCAGAGGCTACTGGAGGGGGGCGGAGGGGAGAGAAAGGGAATAAGTATTTATATAGGTACTACTGTGTGCAAAGCATTGTGCTAAGTGCTTTTTACAAATATCTCATTAAATGCTCACAACAATTCTGAGAAGTAGGTGTAGATGCTCTTATTACCCTCATTTTAAAGTTGAGGAAACAGGCAAACGGAAGGACTTGCCCTGAGTAAGTGTGCCGGTAAATATGTCCGGTCATATTTGAACTCAAGTCTTCCTAACTCCAATCCAAACCCCTCATATTACTAAGAAGGAAAGTGGGTGCCAGGGAAGTGAAATGACTTGGGGAGTGAGTGTCTCAGGCATGGTTTGGACCAAGGTCCCCTGACTGCAGAGACAATACTCTTTCCTACTGCCTTGCCTCGACTAGACAGCCCATAAATTGACTGTACTTTATAACACTGATTTTCTTTAATGGTAATTTAAAGTTTGGAAAGCTGAGCCTCACAATAAGCCTAGAAGGCAGGTAGTCTCATTTGGAACAATAAATACTGTGCTAAAGATGAAAAACAGCATGGTCTCTTCCCGTAAGGAGGTGAAAAGTAAAGCTAAGACAGGTACCCACACGTAAGCTTGATACAAAGAAGAATTGAATGGGAGTGTAGGAGAAGTATGACAAACTACTCTTAGAGAATTTGAGGAGGGAGTTAACACTTTCTGCTATGGCTCGGGAAGCCTTGTTGAAGGAAGATATTTGTGAGACTGATGATTCTGATAGGAAATCTCAGCTTCTTGGACTTTTAAATGTATCTGATCCAACCACTGAGGATGAAAATTTCATTTTTAAAAGTAGAGTCAAAAGAAAAGTACTATAGGATGGTGCAGTAGGTAGGCATCAAGGCAGTGAAGTAAGTAAAGTGCTGGACCTGGAGTCAGAAAGACATGAATTCAAATCCTGCCTCAGATATCTGGGAAAGTCACAACCTTTATCTCCCTCAGGGTCTGGAGCTAGGGTGGGGAGGAATCTTTTGGGTCATCTAGCCCAATGCCCTTATTTTACTGAAGAGGAAACTGAGGCTGACAGAAGTATGTGGAAAAAGTAGGATTTTAGCTCAAGTCCTTTCAAAGTTTCATCACTCTTTCCATCATACTATGATGGACCTCAAAACCTAGGGATGCTTTTCATCCTCCCTTCCATATATTGCCTTTGGTTTCCATGGTGTTCATTCAAGGTAGGAGGGAATGGCATGGTGTTAAAGGTACATAATTTAGTAGGCATAGAACCAGATCTCTGATTAGAGCTACTCAGCTCTGCCATTTACTAGTTCTGTGATCTGGGAGAAGTTGATTAATCTCTGTAAGCTTAAGTTTCTTTATATGTAAAATAATCATTCTATAATTAGTTTCCTAGGTTTAGATTTTGGCATTATTGAGTGATTCATTCATTCACTTCAAAAACATATATTAAATTCTTTCTGTGCTTAAGGCATGGTTTGTCTCTGTTTAGTGGTTTTCGATGGTGCCTGAATCTTCGTGACCCCATCTGAGGTTTTCTTAACAGAGATACTGGAATGGTTTACCATTTCCTTCCCCAGCTCATTTTGCAGATGAAGGAACTGAGGCAAACAGTGGGTTAAGTGATTTGTCCAGGGTCACACAGCTAGCATCTGAAGCCAGATTTGAACTTAGGAAGATGAGTCTTCCTGATTCCAGGCCTGACACTCTATCCACTGCTAGATTGGGCATCTAGCTGCCCCTCAAGGCATGGTACAGGAATACAAATTCCTACAAAATTCTTGAAGAAAAAAACTCACAGCAGCTCTTCACTTTTTAACCATAAAGTTCCAGTCACTCACTCTTCCAATGCGTTAAGAGCAATATCTTAAAGCCCTACCCATGCATGTTAGGCTAGGTTTTTTTTTTTCCTTAAAAGGCTATGGCCATTGATAAAGCTCCTTGGTCATCTCAGTACAGGAACAGGAAGGATGTGAAGGACACCAGATCCCTGTCAAAACAGCCTGACCAAAGACCAGTCATGGGACCAACCAATAGCTGCACAGGAGAGCTGAGGATCTATCAACACTGAACATCCTTTCCCAGCTGGGAATGTCCTTCCTCTACTATTTTTATTCAATGGATGAACACTCTCATGAGGTCTAGTATGCATGAATCCAAATGAATAATTTGCCCCACACAGCCCTCAAAGATGGCCCTGAATCTCTATATTTGTTTTGTAGATTGTGTTTTAATAGGAGAGAGATTTTCAGAATGCTCTTAGATTGACAGAAAAAGTGAGATCGAAATTTTATAGCTGTGGTGTTGTTCAGTTGTGTCCATTTCTCTGCAACCCCATTGTGAGGTTTTCTTGGCAAAGAGCTTGTAGTGGTTTGCCATTTCCTTCTTCAGCTCATTTGACAGATGAGGAACTGAGACAAACAGGGTTAAGTGACTTGTCCAGAGTCACAAAGATCGGTCTTCCTGATTCCAAGCCCAGTGTTTGCCACCTAGTTGTACATCATCTAATGTAGTTTCTTCATTTTACAAATGAAGAAGTAGGTATTTAGACCTTTCCAACTCTAAAGCTCATGACTGTATGAATATCACTTCTAATGAAAAGCAGCCTTGGACTTCCCTGGACATTTATTCACAGAAGCAGGAGCATAGACAGGGAAAGGCTAGGAATAAGGATGTGCTTAGGATAGGTCAGGAGATGGATGGGAATTCTGCACTTCTGGTAAATGAGACTAGCCTGGGAGAACTGAAAGAGAGGTGCAAGCTGGGGTTTTAATATGTTTTCATTTAACATCTCTGCCAGCAATCAAGTAATGGACCCCTGGAGTAGGTGAGAGACTGAAGGAGCTGAGTAAATTACCCTGGGCAGCCAGCACAGAAGAGAGCAAAGGAGGGAAAGAAATGATGAGCCATGGCAGCAAGAGAGAAGAGGATGGCCCATGGCCATCAGACTGTCAAAGCTGCTCACAGAAGCTCTCAGGCCATCAGACTGTCAAAGCTGTTCACAGAAGCTCTCAGACATGAGGAACCTTTGAAAGTTTGATATGCAAAAGTAGAGACTGCCTGTAATTCTTTGTATTCCTGCATGGTGCCTTGAGCTTAGAAGGTCTTCAACATATTTTTTGAGGTGAATGAATGAATCACTCAATTAATTATGCTAAAATCTAAACCTAAAAACCTGGTTATAATGTGATTATTCATGGGATTTATAGCTGAATCATGTGGCACACCCAGGCCATCCATGTTTCTTTCCTCTACAGGCTGAAATCTGGACTTCCTCTAAAATCTACCATTTCTCACCCCCTCTCTTTACCTTTCCCCCCAACCACACACATCATCCTCCTGCTGCTTCTCATCTTCCTTCTATGTGTTACAGGTTGTCTTCCCCCATTAGAAAGTAAGTTTCTTGAGGTCAGGGGATGTCTTTTTTCTTTCTTAATTATTTTGAGGGGTTTTGTATTTTTGTTGTTATTTATTTTTATTTTTGGGTTCTATGTTTTGATTTATATTCTTAGCACAGGGCATGGCACATCAGAAACATGTAATAAATGCTTAATAAACACTTAATAAATGAGTGATAAAGTGAGAAAAGGACTGAATTTCGACTTCAAAGACCTGAGTTTGAGTTCTAGTTTGGCTACTCAGTACTTGTGTGACTTTCAACAAGTTCTTCATTTTTCTAGGACTGTTTCCTCTGTCAAATTTAAATCTAGGGGTGGGGGAGAGATAGGACCTTTGAGGCCACCAAGTACAGCCTTTTCAAAATGAACATACTGAGGCACAACTTTCACAGAGAGAAATTAGCAGAGACAGGATTTGAACTCACACCCTCTGACTCTCAACCTAGTCCTTGTTTCATGAAGGTACAAAAAGTTGAACTGTATTGATACTTCCAAGTGTGACTCAGTTGACAGAAATGTTACATTTTTTAAGAAAAATTATTGTTAAGGAAAGTAAAGTATTTCTTTATTAGAAATCAGCTTGAAATTTCTGTCCAAGTCTTTCAGTGAAACTCTTATGGATCAAATTTCTAATGGCCCCTAAAGACCAATACTAAAAATTTTGCAGAGAGGCAATTACTTAAAGGATTAATCTTCCAGAGAAGAATTTGCAATATATTCTATCCGTATCATGCTAGACAAAATAGGTCAAACGTCACTAAAGATGTAACCAGAATCCTGAATGAAAGGTTTCATAGCCAAAAAGGACAGCAGTGAGGGGAGAGGCCACTATTGCCACATACTCATCTGGGCTTCAACTGCTGGAAAAAAAAAAAAGTAAAAATTATTAGCAATGTTTCATGGGAAAATCATTTATTATTTTATTCAGTTATTTCAGACTGACTCTTCATGACCTCATTTGGGGTATTTGTGGCAAAGATACTGAAGTGGTTTCCGCTTCCTTCTCCAGCTCAATTGACAGATGAGGAAACTGAGGCAAACAGGGTTAAGTGACTTGTCCAGGGTCACACAGCTTGTAAGTGTCT